GTTTCTGCAGGGTGCTTGCTGCCTACATGCCCGACTACATGGTTCATGAAGAGTTTAACCCCGACTTGTCCAGCGGGAACTATGAGTCCAGAAGGGGGCCGTTCGACTTTGACATGAAGACGGTTTGGCAGAGGGAGGCCGAGGAGCTCGATGAGAAGAAAAAGGTGACAGGCGTCTTCCTCCGTGTGCTGTGGCTCCCTGAATGGCGACGTGATGTTGCCTGTGGCAGGTCTCTGGCTGTCCATGACGTCAGCAGGGCCTCTGACCTGGAAATCTGGACCTGCCGGGGAGGCCAGAGGCCGCCCAGCCCTTGGCGAGCAGGGGGGGGTTTCGGTCATTCCGTCTTCCTCTTCAGGGCCGGCTCAGTAGCCCGCACCCTATGTGGTCCTGAACCCGAAGGTCCCCGGTGGCATAGCCTGTCCCCCACCCCCCACCCAAGGGCTTTCTCGTAGCTGGGGGCCAGGCCCGCAGGGTGTCAGGGGCAGGCCACAGCCGGCGGGGGTCCTCTCAGCGTTCCACAGCAAGCTGTTCCGTTTCTCTTCCCGAGGGGACGCATCCTTGCGTGGATGCAGCAATGCTGGGCCTTGCCGGTGGTCTCTGTCCCCGTGGTGTTGGGCGGGGAATTGCCACACCGCGTGGTACCATGGCTGTTCACGAGTGACACGCCAGCCACGCCATGGTCCCGTGTGTGTGTGAGACGTTCGCCGCCAGCTGCCAGCTGCCTTCTCCCTTAGCGTCAGGTGCTGAGCGCTTTTCACTAAACCAGGGTTTCGTGTGTTTCTCCGCACAGGTGAGGCTCCCCGCCATTAACTCCAGGAACCCAAGCAAAGCGGGGACCCCACCAGGCCCCAGAGACCCTGCAGGAAGTAGACTCTCCTTCCCCCCCATGTAAGTGATGGGGCAGCCCCAATGCCCTCCGGGTTCAGGGGGGTTTGGTCTCTGGTCCAAGTGACCGTGGTGACCGTGAGGCAACAACGTGCTGTGCTCCCGTGGCCTGAGGATAGTGACTTCCCCACCACACGTGGCAGTGAGGCTCCGATGTGGCAACTTCCCGTCGCCTGGCCTGCTGCCTCCCTTTACTTTCCCCAAATCCTAGTTTGTGCTGGAATTAATGTGGCCAGTTGTCTTCAGAGAGAGAGAGAGAGAGAGAGAGAGTCTGTCATGTTTTGAGAAACGAGTGGCACCGAATCCATTATTAGTGTTTACCGTGATCTCGCTGGACTCCCACAGACCTCTGTACTTAACGCTTGTCATTAATTTTTGTCCTCTTGAGGCCTGGTTACAAAACCAGTTCACCCACAAACTTCTCCAAGCTCATCAGCAACGGCTACAGGGACGAGTGGCTGCAGCAGCGAGCCGAAGCCGACAAGAGTGCCCCAGAGCCGCCCACGGCGTCCCCGCCTGCCCCGTCCCCGAAGGACCTGGAGGGGCAGGAGGCCCAGCGGCAGCCGGAGGCGGCGGCTCCTGAGGCTCCTGAGGGCTCTGCGGAGGCTCCAGGTGAGGTGCCCCCGGCCAGCCGCGGCCCGGAGGCCCGTGTCCATTGAGATGGCGCCAGTGACTCTCGTCTCATTACATGTCTCCTAAGAACCATGTACAAACCCACAGGGGTGCCGAGGAGACAGGTGCACGTGGAGAGCCTGTGTTTTGCATTTCCCTCTATGCAGGCGAATAGCCGAAGTCATGCTTTCTGTGGCCTGACATTTCTTTTTAATTGTCCCAAATGCTAATACTTCCTTTGGTGTAGCAAGCAAATCATATACCAAATAATATCCACGTTAGTCTCCGGATCGCGAGGGTTCGGAGCTGCAGTGCTTGAACTCCATAAGCAGCTGGTCCCTCAGTTCTCTAAAAAAAAAAAAAAGAGTCACCTCCAGGCAAATGGTCAGTAGTTCTGGAGCTACGGACACAGAGCAGTTGGAGCTTGGCCTGCGCACCGAAGGGTGGTGGCTCCATTCCCAGTCCCAGCCAGGACGCGGGCCGGATGCCACCCACCAGTCGATGTTTCTTTCTCCCTCCCCCTCCCTCCCTCCTTTCCACTCTCTCTAAAAATCAATGGAAAAATATCCTCAGGTGGAGATTAACAAGAAAATACGGAATTAAATTAATGGCCACCTGTTTCCATTTCCCATCAGCTCACCGCTTTGCTCTGCTCTGTGTTGCAGGTCCAGCCACACCTCCGTCCACACCAGCGCCCGCGGAGCTCCAGTAGCCCCGACATGGGCTGCACCCAGGACCCCGTTTTCCGACGGCTAAATATGACCTGACCGTGTCACAGTTGTATTTACACAGCTCCTGTTATACTTTATGAATATAGATTCTCATGAAATAACTTGTCTTAGAGCAGATCTGATGTCACTGTCTTGTAGATGGTGCGAGGCTTGGGTTTTGCTTCTTGAATTTCTCTGGGATGTTAAAAGGGGTGGCCTTAGGGACACTGGGCCTCGCTGGCCTGGGGAGTTCAGGCATCTTGGACCCAATTCCTCCCCATCACCAGCTGATATCGCCCCGTCATGTGCACCTCCGGCGGTGACATTCTCACTGGAGTCCACGGCTCAGACTTTAACTAGAAGAAACTCACAGCCTTTCCCATGATCTGGTCCTGTAATCTCTGCAGAAGGAATGTTTCTGTTAAAAAAAAAAATTAATTCTGGAATATGAGGCTCTAGTTTATATTCAGAAAAAGACTTATCAGGCCTTGAAGTTTTAAACAATTTATTATAGAAACATTGGAGCACTTGCTAATTTTAAATGCTTGCTAATTTTTCAATAAACTGAAATCCATCCTATTACTTATTATATTTTTTCCTTGAGGTAAAAATGTTTAATTATAATATTAATTTAGAAGTCTTCACAAAAATTTTTTAATAGACTGAATTCTCTTATAAATGTTATCGTTTGTATGTTATCAGCATGAAGATACAGTTTTATATTCTGTACATTTAATTCGTTAGTAAAATAATAATTTACCGATGGAAGATTGCCAGAAGGACAAAGGAGGTCACAGGTATTCTAGCTGCTTTCCCAGGGTGAGCCTGTCCTGCCCCAGCTCACCCAGAGTTTAGAAGTTTCAAAGTCCTGCTTCAGATGAGAGACTGAGCACAGCACCGGCTGTTCGCGGGGTGGGTTCGCTGGGGCAGCGAGGACTGAATGGGGCCTGGAGCCCGCAGCGGGCCCTTGTTTCTCCCCCCCCCCC